AAAATGTAAAGCATTCAAATAGCAACTATCTTAACACGTTATACATCAACCGCCAAATCCAATGTACCCCACGATAGCATCCTAGCCATTTGACTGTTGGGCTACTGATGTAATCAGACTGATAAATCCGTCGTCATCAAACACCACTTTATTTTGGTAGTGACTTACTACTTCTCCAAGTGGGCAAAAGTGGCTCCATTCAAAGAAGTTACATTCAAGCACATGATCAACTTCTTCATGCATAACATCATGTACAGATTTGGTGTGCCATGCCGCATAATCTCGGACGATGATACAGTTTTTAAAAGTACTAAAATTAATAAATTTATCGATCGGCTCAATATCAACTGATGATATTCCTCCATATACTATCCAAGAATAAATGGCATGGCATAAGCCTTCAATAAGATATTGGTGAAATTGTTGAAGAAGATTCTCACCAAAAATAAAAGCGAGTGGCATACGAAGATGGCAGAAGGGTTGTAGGCATATCGTACAACTTACAAAACACCAACCAAAGCTACTCCTTACTCATTGGTGTTTGGAGTTGAGGTACTTTTGCCACTAGAAGTTGAACTCCCATTCAAATTGCCATGCATAATGAGCTTACTAAAGAACAAAATACTCGGTTGAGAATGGAGGAGCTTGATGCACTCAATGAAGTCAAGTTACAAGCTCAACAGAACCTGAAGATTTATTGAGCAAGGATGATAAAGTCCTTTGATCGGTTTTTGCATCCTCGATCATTTCAAGAGGGGGAATTGATCCTTGTGTAGAGAAGCCAATCATCCCACATAGAAAAATTGGTGGCAAATTTGTATCCAATTAAGGACCTTTCGATGTTGAAAAGGTGTACCAGGGAGGAGCTTATCAGTTGATCGGTCTAAATGATCAGAGGCCTATGCTGCTGATTATTGGCTGTTACCTAAATAAATACTACGAATTAAATTGCCCAAGAAAATGTTATGCTTAATATGCTATGTTTTCGTACATATTTATTAGCATATATATTTCATGTTTTGAAATTATCTTGTGTAGCAAGAAAGCATTTTAAAATCCCCAATCAGACTGGGGGCATTTTAAAATTTATTCAGGTCGACATCGCGTAGTATGTCGAAATCTCTGAATAAATATTTAAAATCTCAAAATACATAGCATATCCAAAATCTCCCTGCAAGATAGGAGATATTTTAAATATTTATTTGGGTTCATATCGTGTTATGCGCAGAGATCCCTAAATAAATATTTTAAAATATCAAAATTCCAAATTTAGCTTGCTCTAGAATGTTCCTGTGATACATGGGTATTTTAAATATTTATTCAAGTCGACATCGCGTTGCATGCAGAGATCCCCAAATAAATATTTAAAAATATCAACATAAATACTCTTTCACGTTGAATAATGCAACAATCTTCTTTTTCAAAGTATATGCAGGTGATCGCCAAATAAATATTTAAAAATATCAACATAAATACACTTTCACGCTGAAGAATGCAACAATCTTCTTTTTCAAAGTATATGCAGGTGATCCTCCAAAAATTCGTGGCACCAACTTCTCTAGCATACCAAGATTTGAAAGTCAAGAAAGAGACTTTTGTGACTACACACTCCAACAAATTAGGTCGGAATGGCTTGAAGTCTTTCAACATCCTGAAGCTTAATGTTCGAATGGATATAAAAGGTCGGATCCAACACACCTAAATATGGTCGGATCACTGGAAGCTCTGTCTATCCAACACGCACAAAATCTTCATTCAGCTTTATCCAATTTTCTTTTCCTTTAGGTTTGGATTTTCCTTACCTCAAGATTAAAAACCTTCGTAGCACTATCCTAGTTTTAATACAATTTTTTCCCTTTAGGTTAATATTTTATCTTTCCTTAGAATTATATGTGGTAATGGTAGATAATATTCTTCGTGCCACCATCTTAGTTTAATTCAGTTCTTTTCCTTTAAGTTAACATTCTTCCTTTCCTAAGGATTAGATGTTCAAGTGGTGGATAATGCCCTATGCGGCACCATCATAGTTTAATCCAATTTTGTTTCTTTAGGTTGGTATACTATATTTCCATAGGATTAGATGTTTTAGGGGTGTGCAATGCCCTTCATTACACCATACAAATTTAATCCAATTTTCTTTTACTTTTGGTTAGAATTCTTTCTTTTGATTAGACGTGCTAGTGGTGGACCATGCCATTGTGGCACCATTCTAATTTTAATTTAGTTTTCTTTTTCTTTAGGTTAGAATTGTTTCATTCCTTAGAATTTG